TGTCGTTCGATTGTTCGAAAAGCCACGAATTAATCCAGTAACAGAAAGTGTATTGATGGGCACTCATAGAAAGAAGAAGAAAGATAGAAGAACACACTAGACAACATAAAAATCGAAAGCTGTAGTTACCGTGCCGGGAATTGAACGTCTGCGCCTCGCCATGAATACAAGTGCACTAAAAACATGGTCAACACGAGAACGGCTTTTCCTCGTCCACCGCTAAGGAACGAACCACAATTCTCGAGGATCGTGAAATTGTTAACTGAATTCCCTCCTAAAGCGGCGTCAATGGCTTAAGTAATTCCAACATACCGCGATCGAAACCCACTGCTGGCTGCGTGATATTTTTTTTTTTTTTTTTTTTTGGGTATGAGGCGTCGCAGGTCGACCTAGCCTAAAATGGGTATCAGGATGGCTGTCCTGTGGAAGTAAAGACCGCCGGTGTATATGCTGACCACATTACCCACCTTGTGCCAATGGTCTGAAAGAAATGGGCGCTCCTCCCATATACCTGATGCGCCTAAAGGCGTGAAAATGGATCTTTATTTTTACTTACTTTACCCCCCCCCCTTTTCCCCGAACTTTAAGTCACTGAGCCGCAATCCTAATATAAATGCATCCTATCTATTATTTAATAATAATAATATCAATAATAATGTAAAAAGGCGCCTTTTAGTTCTTTTTTTTTAAAATTCACCTCACCTCAGGGACTCCGAGATATCGTGGAAACACCGCCTAACATTAACCCTAAACCCCCCCCCCCCCCCCCCCACTTAGTGGACTTTCGCGGGAACTCTCCATGAAGTCTTGGAGTCCCTGGGATGGGGTAAACAAAAAGAAAAGCGCCCACTTTTGATCTGACCGCAGGAAACTATTATTATATCATACCGATGCAATCTAAGGGACGGAACTGAGTCACTGTGAAACTTCACTATGCGTGGAGTTGCCTTTATCTTTGTCTCAGGCTATGTAGGTGTTGTTGGCAATAAAAGAGCTCACAGACTGGCCTGTTCTTCCCTGGTTATAAAATGGTCGGTCTATGGATCACGCTGACATTGTTCATTAATTAATCAAGTAACAGAAAGTATTGTGACAGGCACTCAAAAAAAAAAAAAAAAAAAAAAAAAAAAAGAAGTAGAAAGATAGAAGAACACACTAGACAACAGAAAAATCGGAAGCTATAGTTACCGTGCCGGGAATTGAACCTGTCACCTCCAGACGGCGTCTGCGCCTCGCCATGTCTTTACAGGGATAGGACGATCGGAGGAATTCTAGGAGCTGCCACATCAGTGCTAAGAATACGAGAATTAAGAGCAAAAGATTGGCACAGCCGGACCAAGACCAGCGCCAGCTGACGGGCCATGCTGCTGACGTCACCAAGCCGGGCTACAGATACCTTAACACAATGATTCTCAAACTGGGTGCCGCGAGCGAACGTCAGGGATAACGCGACAATAATCCAGAATTTTTCCAAATCTGCTTGACATTAAATGCGCACTGTCTATTTCTTCTTTTCTTAAGTATTCAAACGGCTTTAAGGGTAGGTGTGCAGCGAAATTTTTTTTTTGCCCCATGAAAAAAAGTTTGAGAAACGCTGCGTAAACGTATTGTAAGCCCAGTTTGGTGACGTCAGCAGCATGGCCCTTCAGCTGGAACCGGTCTTGGCAGGGGCCACAATAAGTCTTGTCAACCAGCATAGGACTGGCACTATTAACTGCGGGAGACAGATGTATATGCTACAGAGGGAGTCTGAGCACCTATCGACAGCGTCCGGAGTACTATGAAGACAGGCAAACTTAGCACAACAATTATAGAGATGGGGGGGGGGGCGCAAGTGCCACGAGGAAGAACTGGGACGAACACAGAGCAAGGGAAAGACTACATAAAATATGGAGTGACAGCATCAAAAACAGCCTTAAAGAAATGAAGACCAACTTATACAAGGCATTAAAAAGGAGGAAGAAAATGATAACTACCTTGAATCTATTCTCTTTCTTTCGCTTCACCTCCACTTTTACTGCTTCCGGTGGTGTCGTGGAAGGTATAGGGTTCTGCTCTTGCTTTTCTAGCCCCACCCCCTCTCTCAGACACATCGTTTCTCTGGTGTTACTGGTAGCAAACTGATGAATGACAAGATAGATATTGTGAGGGGCCTTTTGAGAGCGAGGGAGTCGCCGTGGCAGAGCGGCTAGACGCTCGACGTGGATCGGAAGGTCGTGGGTTCGCTTCCTGACGGAGCCGGACCTTTTTAAAAAATGACCTTGGCTCCCAGGTCGACCCAGCCTTGAGTGGGTACCGGGTGCAGTTCCGGGAAAGTTAAGGCGGCCGGCGTGATACTGACCACATCACCCACCGTGCCATTGGTCTATAAAAATTTAGGTCTAGCCCTATATGCCTTAAGGTGTGGAAAAGGATCCTTTACTTTTACTTTACTTTTTTTGGGAGCAAGTGAAGAGTGCAGAAGCAAAGATAGATCATTAAGATCTAAGAAGAATGGCGCTGCGGTAAGTTACCAGGGGATTTGACTGACACTCAATAGTCAGGGGAAGGCGAGGCGGCTGTTCAATCACAATTACTGATGCCATCGGCATTAGAATTCATCGCTTGCTGCTGCTATGGGAGTGTCCCAAGTGCTGTAATGTGGATTCTCAATTAAAAATTCTATTATCTTTCCATGTTGTTCTTAGTCTAACTTGTGCTCTAAGGCCTACCTTTTAGTGTATGCCTTGTACGAGCCTTGTAATGCTGCGGTTGATCCCAGCTGCAGGCCTTGCGCTGGATTTGTCAGAAGCCGACCATAAGAAAGCAATGGCAAACTACTGGACATAAATTTGCCTAGAAAAACCACGACAGCTAAAAAATGCTAGTTTTGGTTCTGCAACATCCTCTAAGGAATACGCAAATAACTTTTAACTTGCATTGAAGGGCGTCACAAGGCAATCTCGTTTTGAGCAAACCATTTGATTTGCTGTCTTTGTATGAATTTTAGAATACGACCTTATTCCTGATCATATCTCTTCTGGTCACTCCTGTTTGCAGACTCTGCCACTGGAGTCGTTAGATGAGTTGAGTCAAAAAGTGACATCACATCACAGCAATCTGGGCATTTCCATGCATGCTGCGTCCTCATCTTCAGCAGCCAGCACAGAGTTCCAATACTGATGGTACCAGTCACCGGCTAGATTTGATGGCTCTTATCTTCAGGTTGAGGATACCTTGGTGACTCAGTTTACGCTGGGTCCACATGGAGGCTAACAATTCTGAAAAATACCAGTTTCAATGTGAATTGACACATGACAAAGCAGATGTGGTCAAGGTCCTTTGGGAACAAGCAACGGAATTAGTAGAGAAACAAGATTATTATGGCCTGGAGAGAATGAGGCACCTGGATGTAACCAGAGGGTCTGGCCGGCTCACTACACTCAGAGGAAACGTGCAAACCACCGCCCATTCAGAAGCAATGGATCCCTGTATGGGTTCTGGGGCCCTATCATAGAGAAAACAAGAACAGACCCACTGCCTACCCAGAAGGATGTCATAAGAGTTGACTAATTGGGAGCTTTCTTCAGTAATAGTGCATCTGCCTAAGAGGCAAGGAACCAGCAGTCTGCATACAAATGAGTCAGATATGTAAAACAGATGCGCATGCAATACTCAGGTTCTGGAACAGGACTGCAGTCCAAAAAGTAGATGAACAACCAGAACTTTCCGCCAGAGTTTACAGCTGGTGAACACGAAGAAGAAAAAGAAGAAGCAATGGGGTTATTTCTTCTTTTAAAAATTGGTGCTTTCTTAACATCCTACCCCAAACAGGGGAAATCCACAACTCATAGGACAGTCTAATATTTAAGGGGGTAGCAGATAGGCTGCATGCAGTCATGGGACCTAGGCTGCACTCTCTTGTTGGACATGGCTGGGTTGGAGTTAGGGCTAGTTCTAGATGTTTTAGGGTTGTTAAAAGCATCAGAAAGCCGGCCAGTCTTACCACCCTCTAAAATGTTTGACTGTCCTGTGACATCATCTGGGGTAGGATATTTTAAAAGAACCCTCCCCCCATTAAACAAAAACATGAAGAAAAATGCAAGATCAGTTTGTAACATTTCCTAGTGGACTCAGTATTGGCAGCTCTGGTTGGCTTCCTTATCAATTTACTACTGCAAGCTACTAGCTTGCAACACTAGTATTCACATGGGTCAGATAAAGGTACTTTGCGGGGCATTCGCTGGCCAAAGGATGGAGCAGTTAGCGGGTACAATTGTAACTGTGACCAACGACTAGTCTTTCAGCAAGCAATGAAAAGCTTCAAACTAGAGTACACTGCGACAACAGGTAAGTTGCTATAAGAAAGAGAGTTGAGTTGATTCAAGAACCAACATCACAGTACTCGGGCATTCCCATAAGCGCTCCGTCCCCATCTTCAGCAGCCAGTGAAGAGTTCTGATACTAATGGTGCCAGTAGCATTCTGATTAAACGTCCGCCTTGCTTTTCCGCTGAGTCTCGAGCATCTGCCAGAACCTCTTATCACTCCCTGCTGCATCAGTCTCATCAGACTGTGGTGATCCTTCTGCTCCTCCGAACTGTACACGCTCTCCCACAAGGCATTAACCACGACTGCATTATCATGTAATAGTATTCCACCAAGTTGTGCAGAGCCAGCCAATCTGTCCGCCTGTTCATTTCCCAACACACCTGCGTTTCCTGGTGAAAAAATCAAGACAATACTCTTCACCCGTGTCCTCCGCAGAGAAGCACGCCACTCTGCACAAAGCATGCCCGTCTTGACCTTCCTCAGCATGCTTTCTGTGTCAGTTTCAAGGAAGTTAAATGTAAAAACATCACAACAAACAAAATGGCTGATCAATCATATTTATTTGTGCACAATATCCACAAATACAACTAGAATACTATATTATACAAGACACAGTGTGTAGAATTTAATCGCACACATGCAAAGTTGATAACGGTAAAAGTTCAGATGGCTGGGTTCATACCCATGCTGTCAAATTGGCATCAGTGCCAAAGGTTTGTTAGATTCCGGTGGAGATGACTCGCTGACTTGATTTGTATTGAGTATCTCCAGCAACTTCTCTGCATACTCCTTTTCTTCCTGTGTGGGTGAAAGTGGGCAGATCAAGAAGAGAAGATGTTAATATCAGTGTGGTACTAAACATGCAGTCGATCAGAGAAACCTGAGTAGTAGCAGCAGCAGTAGTAGTAGCAGTAGCAACAGCAGCAGCAGTAGAAGTAGTAGCAGCAGCAGTAGTAAAGTAGTAAAACCCCAGTAGTAGTAGCAGCAGTAGTAGTAGTATCAGCAGAAGTAGTAGCAACAGCAGTAGTAGTAGCAGCAGCAGCAGAAGCAGCAACAATTATGTCTCAATGATGGATATCACTCAAAAAATATTATCCATGTCTGGGTACTGAGCTATCAGATTGTGTGTATTCTCAGGTCAGCCTTCTACTCAGTGTCAATCCATGTCAGAGGTACTGAGCTATCAGATTGTGTGTATTCTCAGGTCAACCTTCTACTCAGTGTTGATCCATGTATGAGGTACTGAGCTATCAGATTGTGTGTATTCTCAGGTCAGCCTTCTACTCAGTGTCGATCCATGTCTGAGGTACTGAGCTATCAGATTGTGTGTATTCTCAGGTCAACCTTCTACTCAGTGTTGATCCATGTCTGAGGTACTAAGCTATCAGATTGTGTGTATTCTCAGGTCAGCCTTCTACTCAGTGTTGATCCATGTATGAGGTACTGAGCTTTCAGATTGTGTGTATTCTCAGGTCAGCCTTCTACTCAGTGTCGATCCATGTCTGGGTACTGAGCTATCAGATTGTGTGTATTCTCAGGTCAGCCTTCTACTCGGTGTCGATCCATGTCTGAGGTTTTGAGCTATCAGATTGTGTGTATTCTCAGGTCAGCCTTCTACTCAGTGTCGAAGTATGAGGAGATTAAACAAAAGAATAACATATTCTTTACAGAGAAAGATGAAATCTGATTGGTTATAGCATAATTTTTTTTATTTGTTTAGCGTGGAAATCACAGCAATCACTGCTATGTTCATCTGGTAGACTGTATAGAGAAAGTTGCAAACAGCTTGTCAAAATACTCTCTCTCTCTCATTTTCATTCAGTGCCTCTCAGCTCCCCTCAAATTTGATTAAAGTCACTACCACTCTCATGAACTCTCCGGGGGGGGGGGGGGGGGGGGGCGCAGCAGTAGAGCCCACTTTGGGGAAAAATGGTCTAGAGAAACAACTTCATCCCACAGGGTTTTGTTTGTCCCGCCTGGCTCCGACTCTCTCTGCAGGAGAACGGCAAGCCACCTGCCGAGAGTGTGGCACAGAGAAAAAACCCTGCAGCTCAGACGATGATATGGACTCCCGCTAAACAGAGAGGAAACATTTCACTAATATCTAAGCCACAAGAGTGACTATAATAATAAAGGATGACAATAAACATCACAACGTGAGAGCATATAACAAGAGGAAGTGTTTACTTCTAGTATTTTCCTAGTACTGGAAAAGTCTCTCCCCCTCCACATTTTTTTTTCTTATAGACAATGCCAATCAGCACAAAGAAACATCTCACACAAAGCATATTAATACCCACTCAATGCTACCAGTACCATACATGATCAATCACAACAAACCAAACAAGGAAAATGACTAACTATGGACTGAGAAGGGCTGCAGGAGTGACCAAGGGAAATAAAGTGAACAGAACAACAAAAGTTCAAACTGTTCTCAAAGAGGTAGAATTAGAGGACAGATCTCCTGTGAGTGCCACACCTATTTCCGAATTCATCATAGCATGGAGGGCGGAGAGAGATTACTGGGCACATTCTGGTTCTGGCTGTCATGATATTCTCTCATGACTGCAGACTTATCTGCGTAGAATCCAGCAACTCCTCTGTGTACAGAAAGGAGATCAGAGAAAAAGTCTTGAGATGCCATACCTCACAAGGCATAAACCGAAATACAAGGATGTAGAGCACGAAGAAGACCAACAAGGACAGAACACATCAGAGAAATTCTACAACAGGGTGACGTACCTTTAGTCGAGTTGACCACAAGAACCAGAAACATAACCTGTTATCTCCCTCAACACCCAAAGTGGTAAAGGAGAAAGTGAAGAAGAAGTGTTTACCTGAAACGGTGCCTTGTCCTCCAGGAACCGGATTCTCTGGCACAAGAAAGTTCTCAGATCAAAGTCCACACCGAGACACCTCTCCTTGGCTGGAGCATGGTTGGAGGTCAAGTTGACTAAAGCAGACATGATGTGTTCATGTGTGGGGTTGTGTTCTTCATCTTTGAGAATGTGTAATAGTTGCTCTACAGTTCCCCTGGCTACAAGAGCATCTGAAAATAAATACAAAGATTCCAAATGTTTAGTTCCCAATGCAGAGCTGCCTTAGGCCCCCAAAAAACGGATAGGCCTTATCAGGGCTACCAGACCCCCCTCCCTGGTCACAGCAACCGCACAATGAAAAGAAGCTGAAAACCCTGCAGTGCAGACCATGTCGGACATGAAACCACAAAGAAGCCAAACTTAAGCAGATCACTCGCCGCAAAAAGAAATGAAGAGAAATCAAGATACCAAGAACAACTCTGCAATATAACATAATGACAGGCAGTTAAACGCGGAGAAAGTTGGTATTTTTTTCTCTCAGGAAAATGCCAATCGCCAAACACAAGTGCATGAAAACTCAAGGCCTATAACAAGACTAAAATCCAGAAGTGGATGAACAACCACAGCTTTCTCACAGAGTTTACAGTCGGTGACAGCTAACATGGAGAAGAAATAGAAGAAAGATGGGAATCACAACCCAAGGCAATGGCAAGCAACACAGCTGCACAGATCCAAGTCTAGGCTGCACTGTAGAGATCAAGTGTTGCTCATGCGACAGCTCTCACTCCCTCTGCCGGCCGTCTTTATTACAAAGGACGGTTAGACCAGTACGCCAATAAACGATAAGACATAAATAACCACTACAACCACTTCTCATCCTCCTCCTTTTTATCTCTCAATGTCCATGTGTTGGGCCCCATTGGTCCAGTGGGGGGTGGGAGAGGGGGGGGTGGGGGGGGGGGGGGGTGGGAAAGAGAGAGCCACTGTAACCGCAAAAAGCATGTTGTAAAACGCGACTAATTAGGGGTGTTCCCTTTGAAGACAGAGTACATCTGCCTGAGAGGGGAGGAACCAACAGAGTACATCTGCCTGAGAGGGGAGGAACCAACAGTCTGCATATGAACGAACAAGACATATATGTAAAATGGATGAGAACACTTTTCATCGGAGTTCCCAGCCGGTGAATGCTTAGAAGAAGAGGAAGTAAGAGGAGAGAATAAGCAGAAGCACAAGGAGAAGGAACAGAAGCAGAAGAATAAAAAGATAAAGGAGCAGAAAACAAAGCCCTGTGTAAGCTTCTTCAAAACTGGTTGGATCTAGAGAGCAGTGTCCCTCAACCTGGTTACATCCGCGGCCTAGCAACACACACAAATTATTTGGCAACTGACCTGGCAGTTAACGGAACACAGAAACAAAAACATTAAACCTGATGTCACACATGACCATTTTCAACTAATGCGACATCAGCTACTGCGGAGAGGTTAGTAAATCTGACTTAACTTTGCTGGAGAGTTGTTTCTGATAGATGAAGCCCTGCAATAACATCCGACTTAGCACTGATTCCGGCTGGTTCTTATCACTGACATGGCTGAGACAGTATTTTTACACAAATAGGAAGTCGAAAAATGGACCAATAATCTAAAGCTTAGAGGCGCATATTCTTTTTCAAGTGGCACCCAGAAATCAGAAATTATTTGCATTTTATATTTGGCCATAAGAATAACACACCAGAAGACCACTCAATTAGCTTTCTGTTTTCTGATTTAAGAACTAACATTACAGCACACCGGGCTTACCCACAGATGCTCAGTCTACCGCAGCAAATTGTAGAGACTGTTCCCATAACATAGTGATTATATACACATCTTTTTTCTTCCTCTTTTACGTCCCTCTTTGACAGATCCATGCCTTATTCAACATTTACACATTCTTACATGTGTTGTTTCATCTAATCCTGTGTCTATCAATGCTGATTCGGCATTGGGCCACAGCTCATGCGCCGATTCAAGCAGCACTGATTCACAACGGGTCTTCAGAATGTCAGCTTTCCCTTGATGACGAAGTGCGCATGATCTTTTATCTTCCAAGAAGGATTTCTGGGCCTCCTTGGTGAAGTGGTCAAGCCGTTAGCCCCGCGCTCTGAAGTTTGTGGGTTGGCTCGACAGGGATGCCGTTCAGTTCACAAGTGCAGTATTTACAAAGATACCTAGGGATCGTTGCTAGAGATACAGAGGTTGTGCTCTGTGCGACACTTTTGGTGTCTGTGATGATGGACGGAATGCCATGGTGGCATGGAGGGATATCATCGGTGGAATTGATCCAGAGAACAAGGGTCAGAGATCTGTGGAGATGCATGAATGCCTAAGCCTGTTGGCAGGGCATGTGATGAGGAAGTGTTAAGAAAAACAGCCTTTGATTTAAGCAGACACTGAAGAGCAGGGCTATTCAACTTAGTTTACTCAAAGACCAACATATTGAAACTAGGGACTGCCAAAAGCCTGAGCCCCAGCCCAGAAAGACCATTAATACAACACAACAGGCAACGATCACTGGGCCACTTGCTAGGCCTCCATGGGCCAGATTTGGCCTGCAGGCTGCCAGTTAATAACCCTGTCACAGGGCATCATCATCATGTGCCATGCCAACTGGCATAGGTGCTCATGCGTCTCCACAGATCACAATCCCTGGTTGACTGGAACTAGTTTTTTTGATGATATCCCTCCAGGCCATCGTTTCAGCCCATCCAGCATCATCTCTACTGGTCTGCCTCTAACCCTTTTTCTACTGATCTTTCCAGTTATCACAATGTTCTCCAATGCCTCTTTTCTCATTAGGTGGCCAAAGAACAGTGCTCGTCTCTCTCTTATTGTTGTATAGTTGTACAGGGCACAGTACACTTTATTTTAAGTTTGTATTTCTACCCACTGCAAAGTGCTGGATATTCCCCTGTCTCCACTTGTTTTGTGTGTATCTCAAGTATATGGATATGATCTCTCTCCCTTACCCTTCTCTATGTGTTGAACATGCTACTCACCTCTAAGTGCTGGGTTGGAGCTACAAATGGTGGACAGCAGAAACGTGGCTTTCACCCGAAGCCTGTCATTATCGCTGGTGGTGGCCTTCACCAGTACAGAGAGGCCATCATGTGCCATAAACTGCTGCAGGGCGTGTGCATAGCTGCGAATCAAGCCTGAAGATTGAAGGACCACATACACATCTGAGTTTGTCATTCAAGTTATGCTTAAATGTGTGTGTGTCAGTAAATTTGTGTGAGGACACTGAACATTTTTTGGTTAATATGTGGGCTGATAAATGTGTGACTGTGTCGGTAAAGTGCAAATACGTGGGTTATGTGTGTGTCTATATGTGTATAACTTATTCATGTGAATCATGGACAGTAAGTATATTAGTGAAAACTTATTTGGAAGCTGCGGAGATGTGGTTTTATAGACAACAGATGAGAATACTCTGTACAGATAAAATAAAAAAGAGTAATGAGCATGCCTTGAAAGAAACCAACTCAAGAGAATTGATTGCTCACATCAAAAAGAGACAATCTACATTCTTTGGTCATGTGATGAGAAGGAGAAAAGTGGAGCATATCGTGACAGCAGGAAAGTTAGGAGGGGAGGAGAGGCAGAGGGAGACTGAGAGAAAAGATGCCGGACAGTTTGACATCCTGGCATGAATGATCATCTGCATTAGAGATGACTGAAAGTACACGAGACAGAAGGTAGTTGAGAAACTGACTATTAACGCCAAACAGACTTTAAGAAAAAGAAATGTGTTGATTGTTGAATGTACGTAAGCATCTGAGAATGTGCACTGACCAACGTTTAAATGTGTGGGCAGGTGAATGTGTGAATAAGTCTCAGCAACATCCTGCTTTTTCCATTTTAACTGCATGAACCTGGCTTAAACTGTTTGTTCTATTAGCAACATCCTGCTTTTTCCGTTCTAACTGCATGAGCTTGGCTCAAACTGTTTGTTCTATTAGCAACATCCTGCTTTTTCCATTCTAACTACATGAACCTGGCTTAAACTGTTTGTTCTATTAGCAACATCCTGCTTTTTCCATTCTAACTGCATGAACCTGGCTTAAACTGTTTGTTCTATTAGCAACATCCTGCTTTTTCCATTTTAACTGCATGAACCTGGCTTAAACTGTTTGTTCTATTAGCAACATCCTGCTTTTTCCATTCTAACTGCATGAACTTGGCTTAAACTGTTTGTTCTATTGGCAACTTTAGTTTTTTTTTTCCATTTTAACTGCATGAACTTGGTTTAAACTGTTAGTTCTATTGGCAACTTTAGTTTTTTTCCCATTTTAGCTGCATGAACTTGGCTTAAACTGTTTGTTCTATTGGCAACTTTAGTTTTTTTCCATTTTAGCCGCATAAACTTCACTTAAACTGTTTGTTTTCTTATAAGAAACGTAAAAGAAAGCTTAAAGAGTAAAACAACTCCAAGACTGCACCGAATATGACACGTTAAGGTAAACCTTTTGGCCCCCCCTCCCACCAAAAAAACAACAACAGGGGGACGTAAACTCTAGGAACAATGTATGAGCTAAAAGTGATGGTGTAAAAATGCTGATATAAACTAGTTATTTCAGACAAACAATAAAAATAGTTCAACTACAATAAATGCACCATGTATACGATCAAGTTCAATGTACTTACATGAGATAGCATACAGTGCCTTCACTCTCACCGTAGGATTGGGGTCGGTTTCCACCATCAACAGTAAAGGCGCCAGGAGTTTTAAAGAAAGCACAGCCGCCTGTGCTACAGGGTTGTTCTGCACCAGGTTGCCCAGAAGTTCCAGACATCTCCAGCGTATTTCACTCACTTCGCTGCTCAGCAGTTTGGGTATCACTCGAAGCCCATTGATCTTGATCAAATCTACAAAACACAAAACTTTTATGAACAAAATTTAAAGTACAGTGACAAAAATTATCTGCTTTCCTTCCTCTTCTCCCGGAAAGGCTAGGCCGGGCAGCAAATGGTTGCAGAAGTCGGATCTGTTAGCCAAAAGGCAGTAATATCGCAGCCATGTTATAAAAGGGGGAGTTGCCTTGGCTTAGCGACCAGACGCTTGCCTGCGGATATTTCCTCTAGCTCATGCCGGTGTGTTGGGAAATGAGCAGGCAGATAGACTGGCCGGTTCTGCACCACTTGGTGGTGAACTGATGTATGTCAAGCTGGATGTTGTTAGGGCCCTTTGAGAGCAAGTGAACAGTGCTGAGTCACACACAGATCATTACCGTCTGAGGAGAATGGCGCTGCGAGGAGTTACAAGGGGATCTGGCCGATGCTGGACACTCAGGTAAAAGGTGAGACGGATATACAACCAGACACTAGTACTATCGGAATCAGAACTCTTCGCTTGCTGCTGAAGATGGGGACAGAGGCTTATGGGGGTGTCCCGAGTGCTGTGTCGTCGATTTAACATGTGCAAACAATTTTATCTCCCTACTATGTATGGAGTTAAGTCTTGTTCTATGCTACTGCTTTCAAGATTACCTTTCTGATTTATCTCCTTCAGTCAATCCAGTGTTTGACTGGTTTCAGTTCTAGTCTTCTTCTAATTTCTTTATTCCTGATTTTATCTCTTCTTGTCACACTGGTAGCTCCCCTAAGGCATCTCATTTCTGTTGTTACGATCTTCCGCTCATTAGTTGTAGCAAGGGTCCACGTTTGGCACTGGTAGCACAAAGATTTGCTTTGGTTGATGAAAGATATCTTTCTATGAAAACCAGAATGCTGCAACTTCAATATCAAAGACACGTAGGTGACCCAGAGAACCGAAATGCATCGGCACTGGACTGAGAGCACTGTTCTGCACCTCAGAAAGATGTTACCCGAACTCTGGCAACTAGTCATAGCCCAGTTTCCCCAATGTATTTTACCACATCTTTGCAGATAATGGTGACAAATCACAGAATGGCTCATGCAATACTTGAATATCCCACAATATAAAATCAGACACAGGATATTTAACAGTGCGGGCTTGGAAACATTGAAGCGAGAGAACGGAAGGGACTGAGTTGAGTTCTCCACTAGGTCATGAAGAGAGCAGATCCTGCAAAGTTCTGGTCAGATTTTGAAGCCAATTGTTTTGCATACTAAGAAATTACATTATGAGAGGCTAAATACACATAAAATTTCTGTAATGCTCTAAAAATGAATAAAACAATGATCTGATTAGTACATGAGACGGAATCTATCCAGCCAGGCTACTACAACGATTCGAAACTGAGCAGCAAGCAAACCAACCCCCAGCTATCCCAATACAACAATGATTCTAGCCTGAGTAGCTAGCAAACCAATCCCCAGCTATCCCAATACAACAATGATTCTAGCCTGAGCAGCTAGCAAACCTACCCCCAGCTATCCCAATACAACAATGATTCTAGCCTGGGCAGCAAGCAAACCTACCCCCAGCTATCCCAGTACAACAATGATTCTAGCCTGAGCAGCAAGCAAACCTAACCCCAGCTATCCCAATACAACAATGATTCTAGCCTGAGCAGCAAGCAAACCTAACCCCAGCTATCCCAATACAACAATGATTCTAGCCTGAGCAGCTAGCAAACCTACCCCCAGCTATCCCAATACAACAATGATTCTAGCCTGAGCAGCAAGCAAACCTAACCCCAGCTATCCCAATACAACAATGATTCTAACCTGAGCAGCAAGCAAACCTACCTCCAGCTTCGCCAATGCAACAATAATTCGAACCTGAGCAGCAAGCAAACCTACCTCCAGCTTCGCCAATACAACCATAATTCGAACCTGAGCAGCAAGCAAACCTACATGGATCTACTACAATCATTTGAACCTGAGCAGCAAGCAAACCTACCTCCATCTACATCAATACGACAATGATCTGAACCTGTGCAGCAAACATACCTCCAGCTACATCAATACAACAATGATCTGAAACTGTGCAGCAAACCTACCTACCTCCAGCCATGCCAATACAACAATGATCTGAAACTGTGCAGCAAACCTACCTACCTTCAGCTACATCAATACAACGATGATCTGAAACTGTGCAGCAAACCTACCTACCTTCAGCTACATCAATACAACAATGATCTGAAACTGTGCAGCAAACCTACCTACCTCCAGCCATGCCAATACAACAATGATCTGAAACTGTGCAGCAAACCTACCTACCTCCAGCCATGCCAATACAACGTTTTGAACCTCAGCTGCACAGTAAACCTCACTCCAACTATGCCAGTTAAAAGTTAGTTGCGTATCTTTTACAGGATGTTGCAGAACCAACCCCAGCATTTTTTAGCTGTTGTTTTTCTAGGCAAATTCAGGTCCAGTAGTTTGCCATTGCTTTCTGGACCATCGGCTCTCGATACCACTGCCGAAACCAACGCAAGGCTGCAGCTGGGATTGAAACCAGCACCCCGGCATTATGAAGTGCGTTCACAACGCCTAAGCCACAGACACTATGCCAGTACAACAATGATTTAAACCTGTGCAGCAAACAAACCTACCACACCCCCACACCTACAGAACTATGATTTGAACATGTGCAGCAAACCTACCACACCCCCCCCCCCCCAACCTACAGAACTATGATTTGAACATGTGCAGCAAGCAAACCTACCACACCCCCACACCTACAGAACTATGATTTGAACATGTGCAGCAAACCTACCACATCCCCCCCCCCACCTACAGAACTATGATTTGAACATGTGCAGCAAACCTACCACACCCCACCCCCCCCCCCCCCCCCCCCACCAACAGAACAAAGATTTGAACATGTGCAGAAAACCTACCACACACCCCACACCCCCCCCCCACCTACAGAACTATGATTTGAACATGTGCAGCAAACCTACCACACCCACACCCCCCCCCCCAAACTACAGAACTATGATTTGAACATGTGCAGCAAACCTACCACACCCCCACACCTACAGAACTATGATTTGAACATGTGCAGCAAACCTACCACACCCCCCCCCCCCCCCAACCTACAGAACTATGATTTGAACATGTGCAGCAAACCTACCACACCCCGCCCCCCACCTACAGAACTATGATTTGAACATGTGCAGCAAACCTACCACACCCCACACCTACAGAACTATGATTTGAACATGTGCAGCAAACCTACCACACCCCCTCACCTACAGAACTATGATTTGAACATGTGCAGCAAGCAAACCTACCACACCCCCTCACCTACAGAACTATGATTTGAACATGTGCAGCAAGCAAACCTACCACACCCCCTCACCTACAGAACTATGAATTGAACATGTGCAGCAAACCTACCACACCAACAGAACTATGATTTGAACATGTGCAGCAAGCAAACCTACCCCCCCCCCCCCCCCCCTCCCCACACCAACAGAACAATGATGTGAAGCCACACAGCACAGCACACCTACCTCCGGCTATATCGATGTCTTCAACCCAATCTTGGAGCTCAGAAAGAGCACGGATCTGCTGCTCAGTGCCAGCCTCTGTATCAGGTTCCGCTTCCTCGATCATTGTCAAGCACAAGATCACACGCTCTATCGGGTTGACAGTCATGGCATTCAATGCATCCTCTAACCATTTCCTTCTCTGAAAATATCAACTACTGTGGTCACCTTTCCTATAAATCTATTCAAAGCTAGCCAAAATATCTTTCTATATTTTAATTTCTTAACTCTTTCAGTCCCAAGCAAGGCCCATCATGTGAATAAATTTAACCCCTGATTCCCCTCTAAAGCATAATGAGCTCTCTTACTTTTACCATTTTGTCAGAACATACTAGTAAAATCTGGCTTCCCTCACACAGCTATGTATTATGCCAATTTGAAAGTGAAGGATTCATGACTTGGCACCATGATTATTTCATCATTTTGTATCTTATGTGAAACCCTTTGGTACCGAAAGAGTTAAAATATAAAATCCAGAGCAGTGCAGTTAAGTATCAGATTCTTCCTCTGCCTCTGTTTTCTGCCCATTAAAGGGGAGAGCCGGTACATTGTGTTCGGGTTTCAGGCTAGGCTCCAGTGTCTGCACCTCTGGGCTCAACATATCTGACTTCAGGAAACCCTCAATTCTTCTTCTTCAGCATTCCGAGCCCTTGAGGTTCATTGCTGCAGATATCACCCACCTCCATTCGTCTCATTGGCCTTCTTCAGCATTCCAAGCCCTTGAGGTTCATTGCTGCAGATATCACTCACCTCCATTCGTCTGATTGGCCTTCTTCAGCATTCCGAGCCCTTGAGGTTCATTGCTGCAGATATCACCCGCCTCTATTCGTCTCTCTGATTGGCCTTCTTCAGCATTACGAGCCCTTGAGGTGCATTGCTGCAGATATCACCCGCCTCCATTCGTCTCTCTGATTGGCCTTCTTCAGCATTCGGAGCCCTTGAGGTTCATTGCTGCAGATATCACCCACCTCCATTCGTCTCATTGGCCTTCTTCAGCATTCCGAGCCCTTGAGGTTCATTGCTGCAGATATCACCCGCCTCTATTCGTCTCTCTGATTGGCCTTCTTCAGCATTCCGAGCCCTTGAGGTTCATTGTTGCAGATATCACCCACCTCCATTCGTCCCTCTGGTTGGCCTTCTTCAGCATTCCGAGCCCTTGAGGTTCATTGCTGCAGATATCACCCGCCTCCATTCGTCTCTCTGATTGGCCTTCTTCAGCATTCCGAGCCCTTGAGGTGCATTGCTGCAGATATCACCAGCCTCCATTACTCTTTGGTTGGTCTTCTTCAACATTCTGAGCCCTTGAGGTGCATTGCTGCAGATATTACCCGCCTCCATTTGTCTCTCTGGTTGACCTTCTTTTTCCAGTTGGTGACACTGAGTGTTTGCAGGTCTGTCTGGACATTATCTCTCCATCGTCTTCTTGGTTGCCTCTTGGTCTATGACTATTCATCTCCATTGTGCATATAGTTTGTACTTCTGTCATCCGACATTCTTTCAATATGCCCCAACTATCTCAGTCTTTTCAGTCATTTTAGTTCATTGTGCTACCGAACCCTTACATTTGAGCATGCTGTTTGAGACTTTGTCTAGGACAGGTGCCTTCTTAGACTTGAATTTTCAGAATGCTCTTAGTAGTTCGGTTAGAGTGATGTCTGTCTCCATGCATGGCTCACTTGATGCATTTTTGAATGTGGAGTTTATCCTATCTCGGATTGCTTTCTTTTGCTCCATGGTTACTGAATATGAGCTTTTTTCCTCATAGTTTCAGGACATCACGAGTCGTCGCTTTCTTCCCTGTGAATAAACTTCCTTCTTGTTGCAGAACTGTTTTCCCATGAGATGGGTTGTCATCATTCAGTGCTTTTGTCAGTCTCTCAATAGATTATGAATTTTGATATTGCTTCTCACTCTTCATTCCCCGATGTTTGCATCTTTAATTAAATTTTAATTTAAACCCTTAATTAGTCGCTTTATAATACAAGCACGTGTGGGGGAGTGGAGGGGGGGGGGGGGGGGGGCAGCAGTGGATCTGCGCTTTTTTCTTTCACATAATATAGTGCCTTGGAACCTACTCAAATAGGTATCATGCACTTTATATCATTTTATTGTTCATTATTTTGTAATTTAGTCATTATAGAATCAGTTCTTTGATTTTTGCCTTGTATGTTGTTTTTCTTCTGCTGATGAAGACTAAGTGCCTTAACAGGCTTTGTTTGTCTTTTATGATCAGTGCTGTAAAGCTGATAAGAGAGTGTGACTAGCAAAGACCAACTCACATTAAGACAAGCTCTCTGTGATTAACCATTTCACCCAGATAATGGGGGGGGGGGGGGGGGAATGCTAGCTGTTCCTGTATTTTTCGAGTTTTTGATTTTCCACAAAAAAACATTCCTTTAAAAAAATTATTAAAAACATAAAAAATAAAAACCATTTAACACAGGTCACATCCAAAATAAATTTCAAGTATCAACCAAAACATTATTTCATTGAACATGACATAACGAGGGTAATCAACAAACATGAATACAGCAGAGAAATGACGGGGTTATATCTATCTGAGCTTTCAAAAAAAAACACATATTACACAGGTCACCAATAAATGTTTAACAATTTATTTGCCTACCTGATACATTTTTTTTGGCGAAATAAATAAACATTTATAAAAGAGAAGTCAATAAACACTAAGAGAATGAAGCATTAAATGCAATACATTCCAAGGGGCACAAGAAAAATGTACAGGGTGACCCATGCTGACCCTGTCACCTCTATCACCAAGGCTTCTAGGAAAATGTGACACCAATTTCACTTTCAAAAAGCCCTTGGGTCCATATGGACTCCACCCCTAAAATGCCAATTTTAGTCTTTATAAGGAGATAGAGGACAAAGGAGGAGCAGAAGAAGAAGACAGAAACCACTAGATAGCCTTCATCTGAGTAGTTCACCACTGTGCCCTTGTGGGCTGTGTGTGCAGACTACAGAACATGTCTTGCAAGAATGACTTGTGCAGCGCATTAAGAAGGGGATACTGGCCCAATAAGTCATCACTGCTCTGAAAGTTGTATGGAGATAAAAAGGAACTCTTAAAAACAGTCAAGTTTATCACAAGAACTTGTCTATCATCGTAAGTGAATACAAGAAGAAGAACTAGATAGCTTTCAAGGTAGGAAAATGTTAACCTAGAAGAACTCACTTCTTCGGTCATTGGCTCAAATGAGGACTCATTTGGAGCATCCTCACGCCTGGTTGCTTCCAAACAAAACTTCAGCAAGGCCTGCATGTCTCTCACAGGTCTCTGCTCAAGCGATCTGCTGTCGTCTTCATTTGACATTTCTGAAAAGTGCACCAACAGAACATTTGACATGTCTGAATCGGGCAACACAAGAACGTTTGATATTTAGGCTATCCTCCAAATAACGGTCCTAAGTTATCGAGGCGGAAAATATACCCTAACGGGGCCTCAGTCACGTTTCAATTGCGCACTTCCGGGGACTATAACGCCACCGCTGAATTGCGAACTTTTGCCACCGCTGAGAGTATTACCCTACGCAGCTCATGAGGCGTGGATTGGGGCTAAACTAGATGGCTAGGACTCAGAGCAAATAAAATCAAGAAAGCTGCAGGAGATGCGGTAGCTGCTGCTCGTGAGTCCCAGGCATCTAGTTTAGCCCCAAACCATGCCGTGTGAGCAGCGTGGGGGATACTCTCAGCAGTGGCGGAAGTCGCCGGAAGTGCGCTATTTACGACGACGGAAGTCCGCAATTCACACGTGACTGAGGCCCTGTTAGGGTAAATTTTCCGCCTCGATAATTTAGGACCGTTATGCGGAGGATAGCCGATATTTCTTAAAAAGGCTCACAACAGTACATTTGACATCTCTGAAACAGGTCTTTAGAGGACACTGCCCTCTATGCTGTCCATGCACACTGTCATCTATGTACACTGACCTTTAAGCTGTCCATGCACACTGTCCTATATGCTGTCCATGTACACTGTCCTCTATGCTGTCCATGCACAATGTCATCTATGTACACTGACCTTTAAGCTGTCCATGCACACTGTCCTCTATGCTGTCCATGCACAATGTCATCTATGTACACTGACCTTTAAGCTGTCCATGCACACTGTCCTTTAAGCTGTCCATGCACACTGTCCTCTATGCTGTCCATGCACAATGTCATCTATGTACACTGACCTTTAAGCTGTCCATGCACACTGTCCTTTAAGCTGTCCATGCACACTGTCCTATATGCTGTCCATGCACAATGTCATCTATGTACACTGACCTTTAAGCTGTCCATGCACACTGTCCTTTAAGCTGTCCATGCACACTGTCCTATATGCTGTCCATGCACAATGTCATCTATGTACGCTGACCTTTAAGCTGTCTATGCACACTGTCCTATATGCAGTCCATGCACACTGTTCTTTAAGCTGTCTATGCACACTGTCCTATTTGCTGTCCATGCACACTGTTCTTTAAGCTGTCCATGCACACTGTTCTTTAAGCTGTCCATGCACACTGTCCATGCACACTGTTCTTTAAGCTGTCTATGCACACTGTCCTATTTGCTGTCCATGCACACTGTTCTTTAAGCTGTCCATGCACAATGTTCTTTAAGCTGTCCATGCACACTGTCCTATATGCTGTCCATGCACACTGTTCTTTAAGCTGTCCATGCACTGTCCTATATGCTGTCCATGCACACTGTTCTTTAAGCTGTCCATGCACACTGTCCTATATGTTGTCCATGCACACTGTTCTTTAAGCTGTCCATGCACACTGTCCTATATGTTGTCCATGCACACTGTTCTTTAAGCTGTCCATGCACACTGTCCTATATACTGTCTATGCACTGTTCTTTAAGCTGTCCATGCACACTGTCCTATTTGCTGTCCATACACACTGTTCTTTAAGCTGTCCATGCACACTGTTCTATTTGCTGTCCATGCACACTGTTCTTCAAGCTGTCCATGCACACTGTCCTATATCCATGCACACTGTCCTATATGATGCTGTCCATGCACTGTCCTTTATGATGTAGGGAGATCCCAGATTTGGTGGTTGACATTCCAAATGGAAAGCAAACTGGGCTCTCTTCCGAATAACTGTCCCAAATGAACTACGCAGATAGTTAACCCAAACAGAGCCTCATTACGTCCTGCCCTACAAACATTTGAAAGCTGTAACTCGGGAAATATAAGGAACGGAAAGTATCAGGCAAATGGGGGAATTCTACTACTTACCGATATTGAAATCCTCTATACAAGAAAATTGTGGCACAGAAGTTGCAAATAGTGACCGAATATCTGTTCTTTCGGGCTGTTCGCCATTTCAACAGGGCGCGGCTTGTCTGCGATTCTAGTTCCGGGCGAGTCATAATCAATAATGCGCGTTTTAATGTACGCGCATGTCACCTCGGGCATGTCACCTCGGAACAACTTCAAACCAGCAGCCACCACTATGGCGCTCCACTATCCCGACCACCTCTTGACCGCGGCGAATGCGACAACGCTGGCAGTTGCGACGGAAGAAGTAGCTCATGACTGTTTTCCTGTGACTAGAGCCACCTCCGAGAGTATTCCCCGCGTTGCTACGCGCGGCATGAAAGGGGCTAAACTAGATGGCTAGGACTCACGAGCAAATACAACGGAGGAAGCTGCAGGAAAAGCGGTAGCTGCTGCTCGTGAGTCCCAGCCATTTAGTTTAGCCAGTTCTGCGCCGCGGGGGATACTGTAGTCAGCGAAAAGTGGTCCGCAACTTACATATAACTCGGGCCGTGCCGTAGGATAGCGCTATTGGGAGTATTCCAACTGTGCCGTTAATTTTTTTCGTGCGCAGTTAATCCTAGTTTTGCCGCTGTGTAATCGCCGTTAAAAAATCCGTTGCGTTTCGTGACAAAAATGTCGTCCGCATTTAATCCTACTTTTGACACGGTTGAATCGCCGCAAAAGAAATGCAAATTTTACAAATGAGTGAGGCTCTGTTTGGGTTAGCTGTCTGCGTTGCAAGGCTCTGTTTGGGTTAACTGTCTGCGTAGTTCATTTGGGACCGTTATTCGGAAGAGAGCCGCAAACTGTAAGAAACAGCCAGAAACATGTGTCGCACCGCAGGCTTCATACCTCATTGACAATAGGCCCCTGGTCCGTCTTTTTTATCAGCCGAAACCCACTGACACAGGAGTTGTTACGAAAATAAAGAAGAGAGAGATCTATCTATCTATTGTCTTCTTCACTTTTACCGGGTTGCAGCCCAGTGTTGTGGTTTAAAATATTTGTTTTATGCCTCTCGCGTGATTTGAGTAACAGTTTTCTGGATCTTCTAGCCGTATTCAGCTACTCCATCTATCCATTTTTTCCTGGGTCTTCCTCTGGCCTTTCTTCCCGATGTTCTACTGTAAAAGGCCTTATAGGCAATCTGATCCGGTTGCATTCTTACTAAATGGCCAAACCACTTCATTCTCTGTCTTTCAATATGTTTCATGCATGCTCTTGTTCCAACTTTGTCTCTAATGCTGACGTTTGTGACTCTGTCTCTTCGTGTATTGTTGGTGACTCTTCGGAGACATTGCATTTCACACGTTATTTTTTGCATATGTGATTTGTTCATTGTCCACATTTGGCACTGATAACATAACGTAGGGATGAAAATGCTGTTGATCATCCATTGTTTGGCTGGTAACGAGATTTTTGGATGACGAAGAAGTAGGGCCAGTTGGCAGTTGACTGCATTGGCTTTTTGAACTCTAGCCTGTATCTCTTTATCGAGTCTTCCATCTTCTGTAAATATGCATCCTAAGTACTTGAATTCTTGAACCTGTTCTAATTGTATGTCATTGATCTTTATGTTTACATTACTGTGGGTCTTTCCTATGGTCATTACTTCAGTTTTTGAGGTGTTTATTTTCATGTCAAATTTTGTAGTTAGTGAGCAATGAATCAACATGTTGTTGCAGTTTTTGTTCTTCTTCTTGTAACAAACATTGGTCATCTGCAAAGAGTAGTTCTTTATAATATCTGTGTTTTGGTTTGACTCCTGGGCAATTTTATCCATATACGTGATGAAGAGTAGGGGTGATAGGACACATCCTTGTCGTACTCCTGATGTAATGGGGAACCAGTCTGTCATACCTTCCGTTGTTCTTAAAGCGCTCTGGCTATTTTGATAGAGAGCCATTATGTTTTCCAATAATTGACCCAGTACACCATATTCTTCAAGAATGTTCCATAGTATATTTCTGTTAACCCTGTCAAAAGCCTTCTCTCGATCAATGAATATAAGATTCTGGTGTTTATTATATTCGATTGTCTGTTCACAAATTTGCCGAAGAGTAAAAATTGCATCAGTGAAGCTCTTTCCTTTTCTAAATCCAAACTGGTTGTTACTTAATTGAGGTTCTAATATCACCCTCGCTCTTCATTCTAATATTTTTGCAAACATCTTTCCTACATGGATTTGTAAAGAGATACCTCTGTATGTTTCACAATCTCGTTTATCACCTTTCTTCTTCCATATGGGAACTATAATTGCTCTCTGCCAGTCAACGGGAACTTTCATTTCCTCCCAGGCCATATTGAATATTCTTGTCAGCCATTTTACTGCTGTTGCCTTACATGCAAGTATTATGTCTGTTGTAATACCATCTGTTCCGGCCGCTTTGTTTCTTTTGCTTTGCTCTAGGATCTTTTCAACTTCAGATTCTAATATATTAGGTTCTTGTTCTTGTCCAAATTTTATATTATTAGACACTGGTTCTTGTGGTCCAATATTCAGTAATTCAGAAAAAATATTCTTGCCATCTTCTTTTAACATCTTGGGATTTGGTGAGTGGTTTTTTAGCCTTGCTGTTTATGATCTTTGATGGGTTAAATTTCTCTTCTCTCAGTCTCATAGCCTTGATGCTTCGGTAGAACTGACCTGGTGAATCAGTGCATAGCCTTGCTAATTGTTCTCTGTAGTTTGCCCATGATTCTGATTTCGCCGAATTTACTTTCCTCTTGCTTTTCTATATTTGATGTAGTCCTCATCTAATCTGGACTTTTGCCCCTGATGAAATATTTCTTCTTTTCTTTGATAGAAATTTTAACTTCTCCATTCCACCATGCTGTTTGTTTCATGTGCCTTCTTGGCTTTCGGAGTCCGCACTTTTCTGTCATTACATTCAGGATGCAGGTTTTAAAAATTTGCCACTCTTCTTCTATGTCATTTCCTCTCTCTAGAGTACTGAAGGTGTTTTTAACTGTTTTCTCAACTTGAATTGCCACATCTTTGTCTTTTAGTTTCTCTATGGCTATCTGATCCATTAGCTGCGGTGTTTTATCAATGCAAAT